ACGATTTTACATAATTTTGCACAAGTAAAATTTCCAATGTTCTGAGAACCATCCCAAAATATTTAGTTTTTAATTTTTTTTCTTACTAAATTGAATTTGATAAACAATTGAGGAACCATTTTCAAGAAAACATAAATCAAAAGATATAATATAAAAAAGCAGGAAATAAGAAAAAGTTGTACCACTACAATCCATGGAGGATTGTTCAGTACTTTCAGTAATTTGTAAAAGAGTTACTGAGTTCCTGTGTAACTGTGTAAAAGAGATCCTATTTTAAAACCATCGGTTGTTCTTAAATAAACTCTTAATCAATTATTTAACTAAAAGTAACCACCTTATAGACGTACTGGGTGAGCCCCAGAAGATTTCCTGATCCCATGATCGATCTAAGGATGATGTAACGGAATAAACTATTACCTGCCATAGCCGGTCCTCGATCCCGGGGCAACAGACAAAAGAGTATAATAAGTTAGGAAAAATGAGAAGAAGAAGAATTATTAATTTTAAATTATTATTTTTTTTTATTAACGAAATTTACAACTGTAATTAATAATAAATACAACAAGTAAATATAAACAAGTAATATGACATGTACAACATGAGGGGAAACTACCCATTGGTAGCACTCCAATTATACTTCTATATTAGAAGGTCCCGAGGCCATCTTCTTTTCAGACGCCTTGGAGGGTTATCAGGAATTGAAGAGGAAGCAAGGCTGGAAACGAGAGAGTTCGTATGGTTCAGAAGTGAAATTATTAAATAAAAAAAATATATGATACGCTAAGGTAAAAATATACGAGATGCTAAGGTCTCTTCAAAAACAGTTCTCCTTCGTTTAACTTGTTAGTAGACTTTTAGCTAGTAGTAGGCTATAAATAGTAATATTTACTGTTTTAAAAAAAATGAACGACATGTCATAAGTCCGTCATGGCAACCGTGGAACCTGGGAGGGTTTTGGAAAGAATTTAACTCAAAATTGTACGTTTTAGGACTTTCGGAACTTTTCGAGTATTTGTTTTTTTGAAAACGTAAACTGTCCTGTATAAAAAACTGTCGACTTATCAACGTCAGAGTTTTGAAGCCTACTTTTTTCAATGACTTTTATAGAAGTTGCAGTATAAATTTAAGGATCGAATATGAGATTTCTCATTTCCTCATAAAATTCCCTTTATTTTAACACTAAAATAAATTCCATCGATCCTGAAAGCTGGAAAATGTATTTCATAAGAACAACCTAAACCAAATTATGTATTGATAATTTCGAGAAACTCATCATATTTGAAGTATGTCAAATCGTACCTTCAGAGTTCTCTACTGGTTTAGTTCTTGTATTTTACTCTTGCAACTTCCATACCATCGCTATTCGGTTTATTATTGTAATATTTTCATTATATTAATGTTTCACATTGTCAAACATTATTTTGACAAAGAGATAATTAGAATTTATCAATTATTAGATCGATAATACTAAGATAAATATTCCATCATCGTTAATACCAGTCCAGAGGAAATGTCCTCCCAATACCATTTATCATCAGTTTGTCGAACCTTCTGTCATCGGTTATATAATATATCCACTGCACATTGCTTCCTTGTTTGACAAACGGTTATTTGTGGGACATTTCCTGTTTTGTCACTGACTAGTATATAAGTAAATAAAAATTTTGATAAGATTTTATTTGGTTAAAACTGAATTAACCACGATGCGGACAGGAAAATTAATTTACAGTAGTATATAACTTTCCCTTTTAAGCGATTTTTTCGTTGAAGAAGTTGAATAATGAAAATATCATATTTCACTAAATAGTGGAGAGAATTTTTTTTTTTTTTTATGAAATTGATATTTTTTTTCAATTGTCAATCAAATTTTATTATTCCCCTTCCCATAACGTTGGTGAGGAATCCCCCAAATGGATGAAAGTGTAAGTAGTCTCCAAGTTGACTGGAGATCTATAATCAAGAACAGGGGCCTCCCAGCTAGGGTGAGGGTAGTGTCCGTCTCATGAAAGTTGCTTTAATTGCTTGGTGCAGTTTATATATATATATATATATATATATATATATATATATATATATATATATATATAGAAACATGAAGTTACTACTACTTGAATAGCTCATTTCAAACTGAACCCTAATCTTTTTTTTATGAAAAGTGAGCATATGCGCCCAAGGTAGATGGCGCATAAATCCCCGAAAATTGTATTACCCACCTCTTCTTAAAAACAGTGCCAGCGAAGATATAATAACAAAAATCGTAACAAATAAACAATTACACTAGTTGTGTCTGTACCATGTTTTACACCTAGTTCTCTATTTTGAAGCTTTGAACTCTGAAATTTTATAGCTCCGTCAAAATGTGCCCCCCACATAAGTTAAAAATTCTCTCAAAATGTGCTCGCCTCAAAAACTTATATGGCGCAACTTGCTACATGAAAACCCCTTCCGTGCACTCCTGAAACTGAGATAAGTATCGATTCCCATGTAAAAACACCCAATGAATCCAATGATGATGATGCATAATTTTTTTTTTAAAAAGGAATCTAAATCTTTAACAAAACAATATGTTGATTTTTTTAAGTCAATTATAAAAGATTCTTAAATCACTATTACAAGAAATAAATAAAAACATGCACGATTTTATCCTAATATAATGATAACAGCGATGCCCGACAATGTGTTTGAATATCAAAAATTGATATTTTCTTCAGCTGAAAATATCTACACTATGTACCTTTCATGCCGTATAGATATCTTTTCTGTCCCTCAGGAGCGATGGATTTCGATAAATAATAATAATAAAAAGCTTAGCGAACCCGAAGGTTGGATGCCGAAAACCACCAATCGCTTATTACACACCTCACTCCAAAGTTCGCCGTCCAAACCATGTCCCTTCAGATCAGCTTTAATGCAATCTTCCCACCTTCACTTCGGTCTACCCCTCGAACGTTTACTATTCGGTACAGCAGATATTAACTTTTTAGGAATTCCCTCGTTACTAAGTCCAGCTATTTTGCAAGCCCATTTAATTCGCCGCGATGAAATTACCTTAATAATATTACCCGGATACAGTTCACGTAATTCAGCGTTGTGTAACCATCTGAACTCTCCGGTTAACTCATCCTTCTTTGGTCCGAATATTCTACGCAATACTTTATTTTCAAAAACCTTAAGACGCTGCTCATCCCTTAATTTAAGCGGCCAAGTTTCGCATCCATAAAGATCTGTAGGTAAGATAATAGTTTTATAGATTCTAATTTTTACGTTACGGGACAAGAGGCTAGCTAAGTAGTTTTGTCACAGAAAAATAACAAGCATTTCCCGCCTTCAGTCAAACCTAAATCTCTTCTTCAATTTCGTTTTTTCTAGTTATCGTAGAACCTAGATACCTAAATTTTTCGACCTGTTCAAATATATTACCATCTATATCGATATCACTAGTAGTATCACCATTTTTGCTGCTAACCGTATATTTTGTTTTGTACGCGTTTATTTCGAGCCATAGTTCATTACCGGCTTTTATTAATGTTGTGGTATTTAGTTATATAGTTTCAATGTCTTCGCTTAACAGTACCAGATCATCCGCATAGCACAGCACGGATATTGTCCAACCCAGATCCAACCCTTTTTCGGTACGCATTACCTTCCTAATGTCATGTTTTAATGCCAAATTGAACGGGACAGGCGGAAAGGAATCCCCCTGTTTTAAACCCGAACGAACTTTTCGGATATATTATTACCGATTCTAACTTTATTGAGTATTTCCGTCAAGCACATCGTGACTTGATTTACTAGTATTTTTGGTCGATTAGATTATTATATAGTTTTTGGCGGTCAATAGAATCGTAAGCTTTTTTGAAATCGATATACAGCTGGTGAACAATACCGTTGTACTCTATTTTTTTCTCTAATATTTGCCGTAAAGAAAATATTTAATAAATATATATATATATATATATATATATATATATATATTATATATATATATGTATGTATGTATGTATGTATGTGTGTGTGTGTGTGTGTGTGTGTGTGTGTGTGGTGTGTGTGTGTGTGTGTGTGTGTGTGTGTTTACAATAGTATGGGGACTAGATGGATAAGAAATGATTGAACAGGCGGGATTTAAAGGCAGGGAGGGTATTGGAGCGACAGATGTAGGAAGGGATGAAGTTATATAGCGATGAGGATCCGATAATCGTATCAATATTAAGTTGGTGTTGGAGAGGTGCTTTTGAGGGGTCTCGTCACCTGGCGCCATATTGTTTCAAGATGGCGGTGGAAAACCCGTTTTCTACAAACTACAGCACTAAAACGGCTGTAACTGTATTAATAAGTGTGTGTGTGTGTGTGTGTGTGTGTGTGTGTGTGTGTTGTGTGTGTGTGTGTGTGTTTGTTTGTGTGTGTGTGTGTGTGTGTGTGTTTGTGTGTGTTTGTGTGTGTGTGTGTGTGTGTGTGTGTGTGTGTGTGTGTGTGTGTGTGTGTGTGTGTGTTCTATTCAAGATAATTATAATAAAGATAATTATAATAAAGATAATTATCAAAGATTTATAAGTAGCTACCTTTATAAATAGCCACCTTTTCCTTTTCCACGAAAACGTCAATAAATCCGTTATTTAAGGAATAGAGTTTATTAAAATTTTAAATATTTGAACAAAAGTCCTCTGCTACTAAAATGTAAAGTGAACATTAAATTCGAAATTACTTACACTAGAAATTAAATAATTGGTCTTAAATAAATAGAATTAACTTCACTAAAACATTGTCACTGGATAGTCACTCCAGCTTCATTATTATATATTAATTTAATTTTAAAAATTTTTGTGATTACAGCTAAAAAATTGTTTACGATCAACCAATGAAAGAGACTGACCTGAAGTACTGTGGACTGGTATCGTGGCGACGTATTTGTCTTTAACAGATAGCCAATGACAGGCTCAGCAAGCGTCTGAAAGAAAATTTAAAATAAAATAATCGATTACGTATTACTTTAAAGTAACATTTCACAAAGTAATAGATAACATTATAAATACAAAAGGAGAAGAAGTATGAAGTATAATGTTATACCATCTTTTTATATTAAAGGTTAGTACTAAATAAACATTTCAACTCCACTAGTTTTATAAATTACTAATCCAATTCTATACACAATTCACTAAAATAGGCCTGTGTTTGAATTATGGAAATATTACGATAAAATAATAATATTTTTTAGTTCACTCGTATAGATTTAAAAATCACCGAAGTGAATTGTTTTGGAAACGGGTGCAGCCAAACCATAACAATGTTTTAATATACGGTGCTTTATTTTGGTACCAAATATATATATTTTTAAATAAAATATTTAGTTATTTGAAAATTTCTTATTGTACATGATAGTTTACTTTATCATAATTGCAAACACTGCTATGACACTGATATATTACGTACTCCACTAATAATGATATTCATACTAGCATTAAATTATTTAAATAAAATTGAACGGTGAATAATGAAGAAAAATGAAGAGACAGAATTACCGTTATCACTTATTAATCAGGAGGCTATTTCTACGCGGAGAGGTCACCAGCTGACGTCATAGCCCATTGATTCTTAGTGTCATTAAGTGCATACTCCTGTTCTGCCTCTTCCATTCTCTTTCACATCATCAATATTCCCCAAAATGGATGTAAATTATAAATGTTCCCGCCATTATATAGGAATCTACCCTTTCTATCGTTAAACCAGACAAGTACAGAGGTAGAAAATATAATCTATATACTCTTAAGAATGATTTCGTTACTTCAGCTAATGAATAATGATCTAATGAAGTAGTAATTAAATTCCAATCAGTAGTGTAACTTCAGTGAAATACCCGTTAGTAGCTTTTTCCCATCCCTGGATACCTAGTAGCATTTTATCTATCAAAGTTGATAAAACATTATTTTGAGGCTATGACAAAAATATGTTATTATATTCTTAAAATATATTTTTAAAAATAAAATATGTAATAATTATTAGTACATGTTTTATATACCTCTATAATTTATACTAATATACAAAGCTGGAAATTTTCTTTCTTTTGAAACGCTAATCTTAGGAAATATTTGGAAAATTCTATTTGAGTTGAATTAATAGAATTATTGATAATTTATGCTTTTTGCATGTATATACATATATTTACAATATAACTGGATATTCTCAGAAGTTAGTGAGGTTGACGAAGACATATGGAGATAATCCTAAATACCGAAGGATAAAATAAACAAGATCTGAAGCCTTTGAAGTTCGAACAAGTTTAAGGGAGGGAGATGGACTCACGTCGATGCTGGTAAATTATTCCTGGAAAAGGTGATAACAACAACACCATGCTAAAAATCTTTGGTTTTGCAGATGATATAGCTGGAAGCAGACTAGAGGACATTAAAAAACTCGCTAAGACACTGAAAAAACAAACAGAGCAATTGCTTGGCCGACAAGTTGATGACGGTAAAATAAAATATAATACGTTACGGTTAGCCATAAAATCCATTCAGGTTACAGAATCTGAGTGGCTCTTAATTTATTCCTGGAAGTAGATTCAAATATTTTTGCTATACAATAACCTCAACCAACTAGGATAGCACAGCGTAAGGCAATGGCAAACACAGCATTCTCCTCACATGGAAGTGATCTGAAATCAAGCAAAATTTCCAGTACTCTCAATTAAGGAAGTAAAACGCCTCAATAAAACTAGTTATGTTATAATAATAAAAAAAGGCTTAGCGAACACGAAGGTTCGATTTCGACGCCACCAATCGGCAACCTAGAAAGTATAATGCGAAATTCGAAAGAAAAGTCCTCCGCACGATAACCTGCGCCATCTAGAATTGAAACGTTAATACATGGGGGAGAAGGAGCAATAAAAAAACTGCTAAAAGAAACTAGTCAGTCAATACCTCTTACATATAGCACGAAGCAATCCATCAGGATGCATCTTCGCAACAATGAATGCCATAGTTAGTGAAGTTGGTAAGATAGTACGTAGTAGGCTCACTTATATTTTTATATCCCAGCTTATATTAGTTTTGTTTTGACTGAAGAAATGTATTGGTCTCGTTAACTCCGAACAAACAAAAAGTTAAATCATTCCTATGGATCTTTTTTTCCATCCATTTTATGTGTGAAAACATAAGTATATATACCCTGATGATGACCCACGTCTTTGGATTGAAAGTCGACACCAATAAAATCTTTATAATGACTGTATCCTGAACATTTGTCACCCATGATAAGTATATATAACTACTGTTATTGCAAAATGTGGTATGTACAATTTTTCAATTTTATTATATATTTGACATTTTGTAGTCTATAACTGATATAATAAGTAATCTGCTACAATCTTGTTATTAAAGACGGATGAATTTTATATCAAGATTTTGAGTTTAATCATAATCATTAGAGCCGTTCGTGAAAATCATAAAAATAAATTATAAAGTACAAAGTCGATGATATAAAGAATCGTTTCCAGTTGGTCGATTTTGATAGGTAAATGAATGTAAAAATAACTAAGACTTCATCTGTTGCTCATATTCTCAATTCACTTTGATGTTGAAGGATGAAATCAAGACCACTACGAGCTGGTTGAACTTCAATAGAAACGAACACAATCGTAAATGAGACTACGTTTTTTTTTTTTTACAAAGTGAGAGTAAGAATTAATATAATTTTTTTGAAAATTACACTAAATCTAAATAACGGCAGTAAGCATCATTTGCATGTTACTAATATCTGGAAGCGACCAAACAATACACTATAAATTAACTTTTTGAATAAAACCTATTAAATTTTATAACCTTATAAAAATACTGTATTAAACTAACACCCATTACACATGATCAATGCCTTCCATGTTTCACAGCCATTATACTGTTAACAGTTATATATATTAATTTTAATTATTAAATAAAATTCAATGAAACTTATACTATGCAATTTCTATAATGTTATACAAATTACCTCCAGGTTTGAGTCAAATTGAACAAGCCGTTTTCAGACTATAGGCGTGTCAAATAATACATTTACTGAAAGCGGAAGTATTTTTTGTTAGAACGTTGGATAGAAATATATAAAATTGATATTCACTTAATTATCTGTTCACCAATCCCTAACTTTCTTCCAAATTTGTGCCAAATCGAAAAAGCGGTTTCAGAGATATGGACTTATAAAGGAAAATAGGTTTGTTCATATATAAGAGAAAGCAATGGACAGAATTCACTAAAATTGACCCTACATTAATTTTTCACAAATACCTATCTTGTTTCCAAATTTGAGCTAAATTAAAGGAGCCGTTTCTGAAATATTTACATATCTAAAAAAATACGTTTGCGCTTGCGTAAGCGGAAGCGCTGGATGGAATTGATATGGGACCATTCAGACACCAGCTGGCACAATCTCAATAAATTTCATGAAAATCGGGTAAACGGTATTAGGTGATATGCCCGTTATTATTATTATACATTATATCGATCTGACTAGACAGACAGAAGCCGAACCAAATTTGATCCTTGATGTCTGAAACGTAAAACACGGGTGAAAATTTTCCATTATGAGCATAACCTTTTTTTTAGCCTCTCCGACGAATACCTTCTGTAGTGAGAAAGCAGAATATAATAACCTTAATGTTCAAACGTTAAAAAGTCTGATTTTTATTCTATAATTTATAAGTGTTAAGTGAGTAATACTTTACCGATTGCTGATACGAATCTTATTTCATTAAAAGAGATTTCCATCCCAAAGATGTACAAATCTATTAGAGAGGTCCAACAACAGAAATAGGTTCGTTCAAACAATATCTCCCGCTCAATATTCCACATGCTCCCATCAAAACAAAAATTCAATCAAACGCTTGCTCGTGTGGGTGCCACTAATCTTTCTGCTGTGATGGAATCGATCCTCGTTCAAAAGAATTTAACACGATACCTCCTCTGAAATTCGAATTCACAATAGTAAACAGGAATCGAGAATATGAGCAACAGATGAAGTCTCAGTTATTTTTACATTCACTTACATATCAAAATCCACCAACTGGAAACGGTTCTTTTATATCATCGACATTTTACTTTATATTTTTTTTTTTTTTTATAATTTTCTCGAACGGCTCTAATGATTTTGATTAAACTAAAAATCTTGATATAAAATTCACCAGTCTTTTATATCAAGTAGGTATTAAATTTTGGATTCCTAACTTTTTTCCTCTGAAGTTCATTTAGTTTTGTTTATTAGAAATTATTAAAGGTCTCCCATTGTTATTAATGATAAAAAATGGATAAATATGACTATGAAAACATTTAACAAATAATTAAAGAAATGGGAGAGAGATTTTTTCCGGAGTGGATAATTATTTTTTAGCTCACGTATATAAAGAATAGGGAATACAAGTGAGTCCAGTGTAGTGGTATTTTATTATACCTGCAGGGTAATATAGTCCTGTCTTGATTTTCTCAAATACCAATAAACCTTCCGCTATTTCAGGTATCATCAGGACAGAAGAAGGAAAATACTATATAAATGCAACATATACATAAACCAAACTGGCCAAAAGCACTCACTCCAAGGTGGTTCAACATATAATGAGTATTTTTTTGTTTGTTTTTAATATCATTGAGTATTCTACTCTGAAATGTTATTGATATCCAGCATTATGTTCCCAAAATACAAAACTTATCGCCATCAACACATAACAAGTTTCTTTTTTTTGCCCTGCTTATCCGGATCCGCCAAATACGAAACTCTAATTATAAGGAAAATTATATGTTTTGTTTTACCACTGTAGTGATCCGCATTGTATACATAATTAATTTAAATTGCAATTATTAAAAAATTAAATAATATTTTGTTTGTATTAAATAGGTACTTACTTGTTTATGTAAATTGGAACGTGTATTACAACCATATTTATTTTTAAAACATATACATATTATATATAGAATAAAAAATATATGACTTATATATGTTTAAATGTGAGGAGCATGTATTTGCATGTGTATATTAGTAAAGCGTGCACTTTAAGGTTCTTCCAACAATAGGGACTACTTTTTTGTCTTCCCCCCATCCAATCGTTTTTTTTTTCATAATTATTTTCCTAAAAAACTTGCAAACTGAAAACTGTACCCAAGATAGACATGGAGAAGCTTAGTTCAAGCAGGTAATTATCTGCAAGATCTATAGAACTAACCGAAAATATATTCATATGAATGCGTGTCTATAAAATGTTAAATTTTATTCCTTTAAATTGGTAACATTCTAAATGTCCATCAAGGTTAATATGCTCTCAGAATTATATATTACCAATTAATTACTCTTTTAAGGGTTCGCACTGTAAATATAATTAATTCATCCAGTCGTTTTTCCATATTTTTCCCTGCTAAAAAAAAAAAATCATATAAGAAGGCATAGGAGAGAATAATACCAAGCGAAAATGCTCTAATCGTTATTGTACAGTTAGGCAGGGAGATCCCTTAACCAGCTTCTTTTCAATGTTCTATCGGTAAGACCAGGCATAAGGAGATTTGTGATATTTTTTGGGGACTAAATAAAATAAAAGAGTCGGGATTATTTAGGTCACTCTGAAGAATAGCTGAGCATATATTATCTAGTGTTGCCCAAAATCAATCTTGGTTTTGCAAAGGCCGCCTAACAGTTGCAAGACCAAGACTATGGTAAAAAAAAATCTATTTTTTAAAATAAAATTAAGATAAAATAGTTACTAATACTCTACAATCTCAGTTACTATATGTTAATAATTAGTATAACCAATATACTTTTGCATTTAACTCCTATAATTTTTCATTCGGGCATAGATAGGTTTCTCCTATCTCAAAAATTACAGTAATATCTCAATAGTAATAAGCTGATAAGTCACTGCAAGACTATTGGGAGACTCTTGCTCAAGATCAAGACCATGACCAAGACTGAGTTTGCAAGACCAAGACTCGTCTCAGTCTCGCATTTGGGCAACACTAATATTGTCATCCGAGTGTTCCAGCTGGTCAATACCGAGGGCAAATTCAGAATTACCTCTTTTAGTATTAATGTTTTTTTATTGCAGCGTAAAAAATGGAACTTTGTGATGCTTTTGCATCGTACATAAAATAAAAAGCCAAAATAAACCATATCTTATTAAGGTAGGACCACATTCGCCAAAGTGTTCAATAATCCATATATAATGGCCACATTACTCGAGAATATATATTATTGGAAACTTTACAATATTTGTCATGAGTGCGACCTGCCATACCTTCAAAGGAATTTCACTCTAACATTACTCCCAACAAAAATTATGAACCATTTGAATGGCTTTAAGGTTCAAAATATTCTATTAATCATGTCATTCCTATACAAATTTCGAATAAAAATTCTAGATAATTGCGGGTTGATGGTAGACTGTAGTGGACAATGAAGAGACGGGATGGTTGGGGTGATCAGTCAAAAATTCTGGATACATTATTTTGTATAAACAGGATTCTTTTGTAGGCTCACTATTTCCCTACAGCGTTTCTGCCTTCCATGGTCTATAGAAAAAGCCTCACATTAAAATTATATTATTCATACAAACTTAAAATCGATAAAATTATTTCGACTGCGTTAGGTATTCATAGGGCATAGATCAACGGTTATAGTTCGATATCGACCCGATAAATAATTCAAAGAGCGGGGGAGCCTGACAAGATAAATAAATGGTCTCTATTTCCACTCCGCTCTTATTGATGCTGGCCCTGGTTCAGAACGCTCATTATGGAATCGCTAATTTTAGAAATGAAAAAAATTTTAAATTGGATTTATTTTCGTGTTGCTGATTACAAAGCAAACCATTAAGAATTGGTTTAGGTAAGAAAGAGTGAATTTATAGATCTGAATACCAAAAAAATTGACATCTTTCAGCTGAACTATTTAGATTCAACGAACGAATTTGTTGTTCATTGAAATAGATCTTCCGGTATATTCATATACAAAATAACGACTGTTAAAGATTTATATAAATCGTTAATGAAACTTATTATTTCCGTATAATATGTAGAATGTGTAATTTATTGTGAAAATTAGAAACGCCTTTTTTATTCAGTCTCATTTATTTCGTTTTGGTTCTCGGAGCTTTAAGTGCTCTGCCCCTTATTCAGCCAAAGAATTTATTACATAAATACATATCATAAAATAAATTATAATCTTCATTTCCTTTCTACTTAAAAGGCTACTGTCTTTAATTCTTGTTAAAAAAAAAAAAAAATTAATTGAACCAATCACAAAAATTCAGCTTTATATAATGGTGTGGATGTTATAATAAACATCAATAAAGACAATGTTTGCCAAAACAAAAATATCAGGATTTAAATCAGATGGATAAGTGGATGGGAAAAATCGTCTAAATTTGAGATGCGATTTCGTTGGTTTGTGTCAACGATCACGATGTTGTAGAACAATACAACAAAAAATTTGAGAGAGACAGACTGAGAGTTGGTCTGTTTATTGCTAAATAATTATACAACTGTTTGTTACTTATTATAAAGTCTATTGTTGTATTGTTAAATTTGAAGCTCATGTGTTAAATTCATGATTCAATTTCCCCGTAACACTTTAACAAACGCCTCATTTTGAAAAGGTGTAGAACCGAACCATTACAACGATGACAAAAATCGTTTGTAGTTTACATTTGAGTTTTAGAGCAATACAAAAAAAAATACATCATGACATAGCTTTCATTTACCCCACTATTTTGAGTTAATATTATTTTCTGAAAATAAATTATATTATACAAAGTCCTTGAGGTTCATTTATAATGTAGCTGAACCTTAAACGCATTTGACAATTTATGTCATATTTAGTAATGCATAAACATATTAAAATCATCATAATAATACAAAACGTATTTATCTTATGGACGGTAGGCAATGAAAATCGGTTTATAGAAAATTACTTCATCGGTTTATTTAAAACTAGAATTCTATTCGCTGGGCTCTATATTCGCAGAGATATTTGAAAGTAAACACACACGTATAAAGAGTGAGTAGCGGAGGAACGGAACAAACTGGGTGGTAAGTGGGCTGCATCTAGCAAAATAATAAAAAACTCACATATTATTATTCCAATTTGTATTCGTTTAAATTGTATTGGATTATTACAAATAAACAATTTAAAAAATAAACAATGTATTATCATTTCGATTATCTATGTTTTCTTTTAACAAATATTTAAAAATACAATAATTGACTCCTAAACGGTTATTTATTTTGTTCTGTATTTTATTATATTATAATGTAGTATTGTATTTTGGAGACTCACCTCCCAGGAGACTTTTACTTAGATCTTTACTGTTTGAATTACTTCAACAAGTACCATACTTTGCGCCTACAAGAACAGGAGTTCAATTTTTCGAGGGAACTTTTTCATCTTACATTTCACTTGTGATTGATAAATAGCCGATTTTTTCAGCTTCCTATTCCTTATTTATGTTATTATATCTTATTTTTCATTCTGTGCGAAATTTTAAAAACCTGTTACAACCCTTATGTACACACATCAAACCCCACTAAATCTCTAGGAAGCTTTAACATTACTACGCCAGCTTCAAAAGTTTTATGACATTTTCATTGGATCTCATTATTTTAATACTGGTTTGAACCACACTCTTCTAGTATTGGTGACCATCAATTCTCATCACGAAGGCGAGTACAATGTTAAATACTTCAAATTGACATATATTGAACATGTGTCGAGGTTCATAAAAAAAAAGCTTATCTGCAATCTGCAAATAATAATAATTGCATTTTTCGCAAGAATAAGTCGTGATACAATGGCTAGGGAATGGTTTGCCAATATTCGTATCCTGAATGTGTTCAGTTTAGATACTGAAGATACCTGAATTGAGGGGCTTTTAAAATAATAAAAAAATATATATCTTTTGTCCAATAATTGCACTTTTAATTTCTATATATATATATATATATATATATATATATATTTATATATATATATATATATATATATATATATAACATAATCTTTTTACAGAAATATATCTATTGGATATGTAATGAAATTGGACAAGGTACATCTAACCTTTGTAATTGCGCATAACATCCAAATAAAACTAAATAATTTCCAATTATTATCGTATTGTTATAAAATTAATTAATTCTCTTTTTTCTCTAAACAAATAGAATGTGAAATTAGGTAGAACTATATAACATTTCATCAGATTTTCTTATATATTTAAAGCCTTTTTTATACAGAAGTAATGGATCCAATTTTCAGACCCAGGTGGAGAGATATATTTTTATCACAGAACCATTACTTTTATGACAGGACTATTACTCATATTATCCTAAAAGATATATTTTTAAAGAAAAGTTCCACCTCGATGGAACCTCAGCCTCCAGTTTTGTAGCCCCGTGGCTTTTATTCTTTCAGCGAAGTGCCGTCAGAGTTAAGAGTGTTGGATGACAGAAGTGATATCGATCGACGAGGCATGGGTCCTTAAATGGTTAGGACCAATTACAGTCGGTGCTTTTAGGGCCTGCATTACAGCCCTTCGTCCTCTGTCTATATACTTAAATTTCTCTCGCGAAGCATA